TGGGGATATATGACAACAAAGAGGCTGATAGGCTGGCAAAATTGGCAACAAATACTAATGTATTAAGATGCGTTTCACGCAGTGAATAAAACGTTTCATCCCACTCCATCGTTGTTCAAAGCAGCGTTTAAAAGCTGTTCGCTATCACCAGTAGGTTTCTATTCTCTAACTTCTTAACGACAATGTCACTAGCCTAAGGTGTCGTTACGGATATTTAATGACATTGTAACGAAAAATGGTATTCTGTAATTTTTCTTAACGATAAATATCGTTAAAAGTATCGATAAAATATTGAATTTTGTCATTAAGATATCGAGGGGTATGGGAGCTCGATAAGCAATACCGACATAAACTAGGCATAACGATACTCCAAATAGTAGAAAAGTGTGGCTCTACGTTTGTACGTCGGCTCTACAGTAGAGATGCCCGATTCTTAATCGATTCGATTCTTTCCCTAACAAATTTAGGGAAAAAGGATTGTTCGTGCTGCTTGAATATTTCATATTTTTCGGTTTTAAAAAGAGATGGACGACTAATCAGACGCTTGGAAGAAACAATCGAGTTGGTTGTCTCGCTTTCGCTTCTTCCAAACATTCCAATATATCTTTGTCTGGTTTTAAATACGAAAATACTATACAGTAGAGATGCCCGATTCTGAATCAATTCTTTCCCCAAAAACAGGCTTTTTCTCTTTTCGCACTTTTCGTATTTAAAACCAGACAAAAATGGAATGTTTGGAAGAAGCAAAAGCAAGATAACTAACTCGATTGTTTCTTCCAAGCGTCTGATTAGGCGTCCATCTCTTTTTAAAAGCGAAAAGTATAAAACATGCAAGTAGCACGAACAACCCTGTTTCCCTAAATTTGTTAGGGAAAGAATCGAGTCGATTAAGAATCGAGCATCAGTAATCCATATTCATTTATATGTACTTGACCGGAAAAAAACTCTGGTTGGAAAACTATTCTTTTAAATTGTTTGTATTTCGTATGAAGAGTTTTGAAGTGCAATTGAAAAGATTTGTGAGTCATTCTATTATTTGTAATTAATTGTTCTTTTTTGGACCATGTATTTAGCCGGAAATAATGACCGGAGGTAAATTAAACAAAGGTTCGGTATGGTATCGTTTGTATTTTGTATGAAGAGTTATGAAGTATCATTAAAAAGGTTTGTGAGTCATCCAGATAATTTTAATTAAATATTAAAAAATCATGTATTTGGCCGAAATATCGATCTCAAGCGCTGCTGTGGAAGCACCGTCAGGTACGATCGGTGTACTATCTAGCATTTCAATATTCATGGTTCATTTTCAGGTAATTATGTATAATAAGGCCTTTTTCGAATTTTGATATTTTTTTGCAGCTTTTTTTGATAAAAATATTTATTTTGACTCCAACATTGATAATCAATCGGGGGAGTCCGAAAAATATCCAAGTTATATATTGTTTTAACTTTTTTCTTTTTCACTTGTCAAACATTGCTGCTTTCCCACAATTTAAACAAGTTACTGATCTTTTAATCATATTATGTAACTGCAATATCAAACGACTAGCGGGGAGCTGTGCCCCTCGCCCCTCGAAACTAACCTAACCCAACCTATCGTCACATTAACCGTCAATCATTGTTTATTAAAGTGTTCAACTTTTTTTCTTAATAATTTTTTAGTAAACAATGACTAACGGCTAATGTGACGATAGGTTAGGTTAGGTTAGTTTTGAGTGGCATTGCGGGGGACGCAGCCCCCCGCTAGTCGTTCGAAATTGCAGTTACATAATATGATTACAAGATCAGTAACTTGTTTAAATTATGGGAAAGCAGCAACGTTCGACAAGTGATAAAAAATAAAAAAAAAAGTTAAAACAATTTATAACTTGCATATTTTTCGGATTCCCCTGATTGATTATCAATATTGGAGTCAAAATAAATATTTTTATCAAAAGAGCTACAAAAAGATATCAAAATTCAAAAAAGGCCTTATTGTACATAATTACCTAACCTAAAAAAACCAGGATATTGAAATACTAGATAGTACACCGATCGTGCCTGACGGTACTTCGACAGCAGCGCTTGAGATCGATATTTCGGCCAAATATATGATTTTTTAATATTTAATTAAAATTATCTGGATGACTTACAAACCTTTTTAATGATACTTCATAATTCTTCATACGAAATACAAACGATACCATACCGAACCTTTGTTTAATTTACCTCCGGTCATTATTTCCGGCTAAATACATAGTCCAAAAAAGAACAATTAATTACAAGTAATAGAATGACTCTCAAATCTTTTCAATTGCACTTCAAAACTCTTCATACGAACGATTTAAAAGAATAGTTTTCCAACTGGAGTTTTTTTCCGGTCAAGTACATACGAATTCTATATTCGCGTACATTTAGAGTTACATACAACCCTAACATGTATAACGATATAACATGTTTTATCTTATTTTAAAACAACTTTGAATGTAGCATACTTATTCATTGTTTAAAAATGTATAATATCGTGTTTAATTATATGTATCTATTTTACTACAGACATTTACAATATTTGTTTTTAGGGAAGTTGGGTAGTTTTTAATACATATGCTTGAAATTTTATAAATTTTGCAGATCTACTAGATCAGACATGGAACATTTGTGCAGTATCTGCTCTTTGGTTTTCAACGTGATGATGTCTCTTTGAAACTATACTCAAAGAAATTGAGAGAAGAAGTTGCAAAACGTTTATCTCATAAAGATCTAACATATATTGCAAATTTTTCTATAATGGAGAATATTACATCCAGAACTAGTCATGAAAATTATTCAGCAATAAAGGTTAATTACAAATTATATATACACACACACCCACACACACACACACACACACACACACACATATATATATATGTATATGTATAATTATAGGTAACATAATATATTTGAGTAAGTTATATTTAAAGATATTAAATATATATGTCACTAATTATATATTATCAGAGAGAATGAGTAAGATTTGAAATTACTAAAAATATATATTTTAGATAGAAGTTTTAGCCAAAACTAGTAGACATGAAGAAGAAAAATCCATTTACAAAGGAATATTATTATCTTGGACAACAACACAGATTCAACCAGACACAAAGAATTCCACAAGATTGCCTCTTCTATTGTGTCATGGCACACGTAATTGTATGAATGCTGTACATGTTGTTATTACTCACATGTTTGACTGCATGGTAATGGCATTGCCAGTTAATGAGAACGACCTAAAGTGGCTTATTCCAATTATGATTATATCAGTTAACAAAGATGAGGAACCTATAATTTCTGGTGAGGTTCATATGGAATACACAGTACCAGAATTACCAGTTACAGATACCATTAAAGTCAAATTTGATATCTCAGAGCTAAGGAAAATATTAACAAGGTATGCATGTAGTATTAATATTCAATTGTACAAGAATACTTAAAATTGTCTGCAATTAACATTTCATTTTGTTTACTAATTTATAGCATTGTAGACCAAGATAACAATATGGTTAACACAATTCTTGACCTTAAACACATAGAACAGTTCTATGATGTTCTACATATGCAAATGTTAACAATAGGAGGAATACAATTGGGACTATGTACATTGCATAGAATTAATCTACCTGGATTAATGATAATGGAAAACAGAGTAAGTTCATATATTTGTTTTAAGTTTATCAAAAAACATTTTCTTAGTTTTTATTAAGATTTAAACTGTGTTTGAACTGTATTTCTCTCGAAATACATTTCTTATATTTGTCAATATTTTTACATGTTAATTTTTTTAAAAATATGTTTATATTGTTTAAAATATTTAATTTTTTATTTTAGATGAAGATAACGAATGTAGAAATTATGAATTGTACTTTGTTATATCTATATGAGAAAGCCTTTGATATGTTTCATACATTACATATTGACATATAAATGTTTATCATGTATTTTGTTATTTTGTAATACATATAATATCTATATTCAGAAATTTAGCCTGGATAATGTCTTATTTCAAGTACATTCTTCCATAGTCCTAAATTGCAAAATTAAAAAAAAAATTATATATACAGGGTGTTCAAAAAGTCCCGGACCGGTGAAATATCTCGAAAAC